TGAGCTTGATAACATTTGATCCAATAGGTTTCTTTTATGACCGTTTCAAAGTAGAACTTTAATCACCCTGTATATTATTAAATTTTAATTGAAGCTATACGTTATATGTATACTATGCATAAGATTTTTGCTTTTATGGGAAAAAAAAAAAAAAAAAGAATCGAAGCAAATATACTTCGGATAATGGACCTAAACTGAAGAAATTTTTCCTCCCTCTGAAAATAAAATATTGAAACTTCAATCTTGAATTTATTTGATTATCGAAATATTACAATTTGATTTATCTTCTAAGTCCTAGTTCCGACAACGATTCCGTCAAAAATTGCGAATTACTGAAGCTGAAGTAAAAGATTTAGTATATATTCACTGTATGTTAATAAAGTAATCAGAGTGTAATAAAAATACATTATAGAATTTACGCTGATCCAACATTTTGTCTGAATGTGCAACATGTAATGGAAGAGAAGGCTTGTAGAGATCTTTTTTTTTTTTTTTGACATGCCTCTAAAAGTAGATGTCATACTCCTTTTGTCTCTTCAATGTCAAAAAACTTTCCTTTGAGAGATATTATTCTTTGTACTTTGCTTTAAATTTATTTATAGTTAAAATTTCTAGAAAATCAGAAGCTATCTTCAGCTTAAACACATTTGATGCAACGGATATTTTAAAAAATTTGACAAGAATGCAAAATTTATGGAAGTGTAACAATCGAAAAATCTTAATTTTCTTGTGTCAGCACTGAAAACAAATGCAGAAGGAAATTAGGGAAAAAAAACAAAAACTTAAAGGGGAAATCTACTTCAATGAAGTTGGGTGTTCAAAGAGAGAAAATATTTCAATGTCCTTACCAGCAATTGAGTTAGTACTAACGGAAAAGATAAAAACCATATAATTGCAGGTTAAATTGAAGAGCAACTGGTTTTCGGCTATGTGGTTGTATAAATTTAAATTGCATATAGAATATCTAAATTGGAGAACGACTGGTTTTCGGCTATGTGGTTGTATAAATTTAAATTACATCATAGAACATCATATCGTATTGTAAAGGGAACATCCCATGATTTCTCCGTCAAATTATTTAAAGATTCAGGAATTTACCCAGCGACGTTATAATGTATTACTTTCACCTTCGTGGTGTAGTGGTCTGCATGCTTGGTGCATATTTGAGAAGGCCATGGTTCGATTCCTGGTGAGGGCATTTTTCCTACTTTAGCCTGAACTAAAAAAAGGTGGTGAACGCTGATTCTTTACCACCAGGATTTAAAGACAGTCGCCCTTCAAAAGTAGGGAAATATATTAGGTATTTCTCCTGCCTTCTCCTGCCTTTCTTGGCCGACATTTATTTCTTCTCGTCGGGCTTTCTTCTCTTCCAGTCCGGCTTTCATCTCTTTCAGTCCAGCTTTGATCTCAGCTGTCATATCTTTATATCCAGCTTTTATCTCATCATATCCAGCTTTTATCTCAGCTAGTCTGGCTTTCATTTCAGCCTTCATCTCAGCTAAGAAGTTCATCAAAGTCTTCATTTCCTTTGCCATGGCTTTCCTCTGCAGGCGAGTCGCTGGCATTCGATCGCAAATCCCACTTCTCAAACCAGTTATGTTATTTTCTTCCTTCACGTTCATACAGGGTTCGTAGATTTGGAGTGAATAACGACAACACTTGATGAAGTATCGAAACACACTTTATTTAGCTAATATTAATCAGGACAGCTCCAATAACAATTTTTACAGTAGTCGAAGATATACCATAAAAACGCTGGAAAATTAGCGGCACAGCACTGTCAGGGAATAACGGTGGAGACAGCTTCCTGCAAAGCACCAAACTCCGCTTGGTTGTTCTCGGAACTCCACGTACTCTCGAGACTCTCCACGTTACAACTCGTGATGCACACAATGACACACGAGCACAGCTCTCAATTCTTCGGTTCAGTCGTTCCCGGAGCTCAACACGCTCTCTTGATGATGCACTAACCGCGATACTCTAACAGACTCCTTCGGTGCACTCAAAGACTCACTTGGCACTCGCTGCCTGGCTGACAACTCGATCGACTCCACAGGGATTGACTCTGTAGACAAGACACCAACTCGATACTAACTAACTCGCACTCTAGACGAGGCACACACACTCGCCTTCTCGATGAAACACACACTGACTGACTACGGACCAGCAGGGTTTATATAGATTTCGGCCTGAGTTCAAGAACATTCTAAGCTAAACTGGTAAGAATTTGTTCCAGAAGGTTCTCCAACCGTCCATGGTATATTGCCAATTTTGTCGCCAAATGGGGCAACGCTGCCCTCCTTGCTAATTTATGGCAACCCTAAAACTACTTTGCAGGGAAGCCATCTTACCATGCATGTACATTTCGTAACAATATATATATATATATATATTCTCACTCTGTTACTTGGGCTTGGTGAGCTTAGTTTTTTTATTTGTATGTGTTGGTACATTGTTCATTTTTTTCTTTAAAAGATATTGAGTTATATAGTTTTTATGTTCCGGTCAAGGTTTTTATGACTTTAATTAATTTGTATGCACTTGTTTAAGAATTATCAACAATTTAAAACTTAGAGTGATGAGTTAAACCTAACGAACCACTGTTTGTTTACATTTGAAACGCAATACAATAGTGAATTAAGCCATTTCTGCACCTTCAGTGTCTTTTTGCAAGTGGGGACAGAAGTAGTTTTCAGTTTTGTGTACCGAAAAATCTGCCTTCTTACCCGCTGGCCAAATTGCTTGTTTTGGGATTAGAAACTCTTAATATTAATTGTAAAATTTGTTTTTAATATTTTGACTTGTGTTTGATGTTTTATGTTTTTCTATATTTTACAATATTTAAATAAGATTTTTTTTTTTTTTGGCATATTTTTGCTTTGTTGTGAAGAACTGAATTAATTAAATGAAAAAATATATCTCTAATGAAATTTGAGGAAATATATTTAAATGAAATGCAGCAAAAATTGTGTATAATGTATTAGGCCATACGAATGTGGTCATCTCAGATTTTTTTACTTATTATAATATCAGCAGAATAATCTACTGACAATACCATGCACACACACACACCTTCTCCCCTTGTCTGCACTCATTCAACTGCTCTTCATGGTGAATTTTTCCAGTGGCACATCTGCACCAATGTGCACAGCTGGTGAAATTAGGAAGGAATTTGTTTTTTATTTTGCATTTCACATTATTATTCATGTGTGGTGAAAAAAAAGTATAATTTTATTAAAAATAATGTGATATTAAAACTGTTTTCATGAGTACAATTCCCATATATATTAATAAATATATATATTTTTAAATCTTGCTCATGCAAAGTGGAAACCAGGTTTACAATGTTTATTATTTTTGTGGGTTGTACTGTAATGAAGCTTCATTCTGCTTGATATGCAGTTATATTATACACAAGCGCATTAAATTTTATTTTAGATGATGATAACTTAGTTTTAAAACCAGATAAAATTCCATTTTTTTTTTTTTTTTGTGTTAGCTATAGAAAAATTCACCATATATTTCAATAGAATGTATTTTCATTTCATAATATGCAAGGTGCATATATAAAAAACTTGGACAAATTAAAAGACCAAATGATTTAAAAAAAAAAAAAATGGAAAGAATAAATGTATGTTTAGAAATAGTGGCATATCAACTCTTGTTAAAGTCTATTTAACTTGGTTATTTTGTCATTTGTATATCAAAATGTTGGAATCATTTTCATTTACTGAGAAGACATTGTAAAAAAAATTTTGCTTTGAGAGGGAACCTTGTTATAACATTAAATTTTGTTACAGATTAAGTAAATCTGCCACTGAAGCATCAGAGATGATTCAAATAGTGTATGGTAATGCATTGTTATGGAGAACATAAGTGTACGAGTGGTACAACTGCTTTAAATGTGGGCATGGAAGCAATAAAGATGAATTAAAAGTAGGGCATCCTTCAATAGCAAAGAATGAGTTCATTCTTTGGTAAAAGCTGATAGACATGTAATAAATTAGTAACTTTCAGACATGCTTGGGATAAGGAAATAAAGCTGTAGGCTAATTTCTATTAAAAATTTGAAAATAAGGAAAGTTTAGGCTTGATTTGTGCCTTGGATTTTGACAAAGCAACAAACAGATGACAGAAAAGCTTGCTGTGAAGATTTGCTGACTTCTGTGAGACAAAATAACAATTTCTCCTTTAAAAAAAAAAAAAAAAAAAAAAAAAAAGTGTAAATCAAAGGCTAAGGTTATGCTGTTTGCATTTTTTTTTTATCAAAAAAGACTTATTCACTGTGAATCTATCCTTAAAATCAATTAATTAATCAGTGTTTTTATAAGAAAGTGCTTTTTCAGTTAAGAAACAGAATAAGGTAAGAATGAACTTTTCAAAACTGGGCAATTACACAATAATTGTTAGGCTCCATACAGCACTAACTATAACACTTTCCAAGCATTCAGTTGCAGTGATAAATCACCTGTCACATTCTGACTTATTGCAACTGATTTTTTCCTTTTTTCCAAAGCTTAAGATAGTCATGAAAGGACAGAGATTTGAAAAATGTTGTGGATACTAAATTGAATGTTGCATGTATTTTGCGAACGGTTATTTCTGATGTCTATAAACAGGGTGTTGATGACCTGAGAAAACACTGGAAAAATTCTAGACTCCTCTGGTGATCATATTGAAGCAGATGCATTTATCTGAAGGTTAATAAATCTTTTTCTTAGTTATAGGAAATTTTAGTGTTAGTTTGTGGGCTCACCTTGTATTTTCATTTTGAACCATATTTATAAATTTAAATTTGTCTATTGGAAAATACCATTAATAATTTAATCTTGAGTTTTAATTAAATTTTTAATTTAATTACAGCACTAACTATAACACTTCCCAAGAATTCAGTTGCAGTGATAAATCACCTGTCACATTCTGACTTTAATTAAATTTTTAATTTAATTAAAATTTTAGTTTGATGTGATTGATGTTTAATGATCTATTTGAATTTTTAGTGTTGGCCAAAGACAGTTGGTGTGTTTAGCAAGAGCACTACTGCGGAAGACTAAAATTTTAGTTCTTGATGAAGCAACAGCTGCAGTTGATCTTCAAACTGATGATCTGATTCAGACTACTATACGAAAGGAATTTGCTGATGCTTCAGTGCTTACCATTGCTCATCGGCTTAATACTGTTATGGATTATGACAGGTAATATTTCATACCACTCTGATTATAGATGTAATTATATATATGTGTGTGTGTGGGTGTATATAAATAAAAACAAGAGGGAAAACTTTATAATTAGTGAATTTTAATAGATATATATGTTAATGTGTGTGTATATATATATACACAAACACACATTTTTGGGAAAAAACAAAGCAACTTTAAAATATAATCCATTCATTTCAAAATTTTTTATGCAAATTCCTTCATACCAATTATGCAGCTAATTAAATTTTCAGTGTGTGTTAACTTCGATCATATTGTATATTTCTACTGTGCAACTGACATTGTATAAAACAGGCAACCTTGTTTGCCTGTTTTATACAATGTAATTATATATATGTGTGTATAATTGGAGGTGTACCTTTTTTTTTTTTTTTTTTTTTTTTTTTTTTTTTTTTTTTTTTTTTGTTGTTGTTGTTGTTGTTGTTGACATTGCTGTTCCCTGGAGACACAACCAGTCATGCCATTACGTTGTTGAAGACTTTATAGACAACTGGAGGACTTCAAATGTATTTGCATAGTAGGGATGCATGAAGTGAGCTGGCCATACTGAGCAAATAGTCTGTCATATGCATCATATGGACATGACTGTGCAAATTTGCTAAAAATGATTGCTGCAGGTTACTCATCAATGGAATCAAGGCTCTGGGAGGTGTGGGTGAAAGAATGTGTGGCAAGATCGGATGATTGCATAACAGGCGTGAACTGTCCCATTGGCATCAGTGTCCACTATGCACTGTGCTACAGCCTATCTCATACTACCTGTGACACCTTCTGTCATCTCACTGTGCTTGGCTAAAGTGGGTTGTGCTCGCAGTGTCTTAAGGCATATACCTTTGACCTCACAACATTGACAGTTGTTTGAGGTGGTGTTAAAGCCAGCCTTCATGGCTGCCAGTTGATTGAATTGCATGGTGCTCAGCAATGAATTCCACTTCAGTATTGGAGCAGATGACCATCAGGTCCATTTGTCGAGGGGCCAGTGCTCCGAGTAATCTTTTACAGAGGCACACAGCCACTATATCTGGTGTGATGGTGTGGGATGCTACCTCTTATGGCAGAAGGTCATCCCTAATCATCCTGCAACTTTTAACAGCTCAACGATATATTGATGACATCTGCGGCTATTTACATTATCCTTCATGGAGCCATTTTCTAACAGGATAATGTTGAATACTATATCCGTGGATTGCCTCTGAACTGTTGATACTCTTCCTTGATCAACAAGGTCACCAGACCAGTTGCCAATCGAACATGTATGGGTTATGGTGAGCCACCAGATTGGGGGCATCCCTACATGTTGCAGATGTGTAGCAGAATTTATGGTAGGATGAGAATGTGAGTCTTTATCATTCCTTATTTCAAGGTTTACAGGTCAGGTCAGCTCAAAGTATAACGTACTCCCATTGGTTAAACACAGATAATGTGTATAGTCCAGGTGCATTAACTATTTAGACTGCAGGTTTCCCAAGAAACCCATCAAGTACCTTAAAAAATGTTTTGCTGTGAGTGCTTTTTGCACTTATAATAATTTAGAGCAATTACCGTAATTTCCGGAAGAAAGGCCGCATCAGCGTAAACGCCGCACTCGAGAAAAATGGCGGGAAAAAAATTAAAATTACACAGAAATGCCGCATCAGCGTAAACGCCGCAATAGATTAAATTGCGCGTGACATCATCATGGGCCGTATAGATGCAAAAACTCAACCTAAGTTCTGATATATGACATACCAGTTAAGAAAAAGGCATGAAATGAAACCATAACTCAAAAATAAATTAAAGGTAAGACATGTATAGCTTCTGTGCCGTTTAGAGACATTTTCAAAAATTTTCCGCTCCCTAATTAAAAACTATCCAACAAGTACTTGTACCCAAACTGATGGGATCTGTATTTGGCAGAATGCCAAGAAAAATCCATTCATGCTGAAGGGGAAATACGTCAGAGTTCGTTATTTCGAGGCAGGTGGAGTCGTGTCCGCCTTTGAAAAAAATTGCAGAAAAGGCAGGGGTGGGGAGAGGATGGGTCCTGGAAGATTCATCGAATGGCAGAGGAGAGAGACTATTCAAACTGATGAGAATGTTGATTTGAAAGGGGGAAGAATGTTATTGTTCTGAGATCTCGTTTAGGGTGAATAAGGCATGTAGGTCCGTTCAAGGGAAAGAATGTAAACAAAATAACGTTCGCAAAAAGCAACTAAGTGGTCTTTTGTGTGGGAACAGCACCAGTCTATGCACAATGACAAGGCCATCCAAACTATGTACTATGACCATCATAGGAAATATTTTATTTTTAGTGCAGCTAAACGCCGCATGGGTAGGAACGCCGCACCCGCTGAAAATTTAAGTTTTAAACACGTAAACGCCACGGCGTTTCTTCCGGAAATTATGGTAGTACCTTTTGCACTCATAATAATTTAGAGCAGTTAGTGCCTTTTGCACTTACAAAGATTTAAAACATTTGGTTCCTTACATACTTGTTTAGAACAGTTGATGTCTTTCTGATTTACAAAAATTTAAAACATTTCGTGCCTTTCCCACTTATTAAAAATTAAATTTACTAATCTCTGATAATTCATGTGCAATTTGAATAAAATATTTATTTATACAAAATATTCAGAGTATGCATTATATGCTAGTTTGTTTATGCAAAGTTTTTTATATGAAAAGTACTTTACTATATACATTTATGTTGCTCATTGTTTAATTGTACAAAAGCATTAGTGGGCCGACTTTTCTTTGAAGTATATGATATAGCTGTTTATTTAGATTGGTGCATTTATTTTTCTCTTATACTTGAGAGGTAGTTGGTGTTCACTTCTCTCTTTCTTAATTTTCTGGTTTTTGTTGCATAGTTGAAATAGTCTTAGATTTTAGTTTCTGGGATCTAGCATGCAGTGCCATCTGAGGGGTTTCACCAATTACTGATTAGACATTCAGCATATTGCTGAGGGGTCCTATGGCCTCTAATTTTTATGACCTGTGTATCCACCCACGGCAGTCATTTATTGTACTGTCTGTACTTTGGCAGTCTCAGCACCAGGAGATAACAGTAACCAGCCTGGCAGTTCTAGAACCCAACTGTCAGACCAAGGGGGATTGGCAAAGACTCAGAACCTGTGTAGAGAGAGGTAAGGTGGTTTGGTCTACTAGACTGAATGATGGAGCCTTTGGTGAGGAGAGAGATAATAACTCCTGACGTCAGGTGTAACGTAGTCCACCTGACGATTGGTACATTTTCATTTACCAGTCAGACTTCCAGGCTTTCATTGGGCCATTCCTGCCAACTGGGGAAGTGGTAATCCCAGTTGCTGATTTCAGTGGTGGCTAGAGAGAAACTCTTTTAAGTCTGTCATCTTGAGTTTAGGGAGCCTGGGGTGGAAGTATGATTGCCTTGCTTCATTCCTCTTGAGTACCTTTGACTTAATGATCCACCTCCTGCCACGTATGGAGGTTCTCAGGTGGCCCAGTCCATGTAGTGCTTAAACAAGTTCCTATATTTAGCATAGTTATGGCCATTCTTTTAATTCCATTTATTATAAAAAGTCATATGCAAGATAAAATTGAAAAGTAGTATTTATAATTCCTGAACTTTTAAACCCTTATATAGGTTCGACCATCTTTATCCGGTGATGAGATCTGATGTTTCCTAATGCATGTTATATTAAACAAATGAAAATAATATATTTTAAAAAATTTTTCTTAAAAGTGGGAATACAATCTTAATGAATGGAAGGATAGGACAACAAAGAGTAAATTAAGTTAATTAAATTTTACAAATCTAACTAATAAAGGCTGTTTAACCGTTTGACTGCTATGTGGCACAAAAGCGCTGCGTTCATTTGTCTCAAAAACCACAACGCAGTTAGTTATGTTAGAATGCACTCATGTTACAAAGTATGCGGGAGGTCAGACTACGTACGTTCACACCCACAGAGCAACAAAGACACACTGAAACTCGCAGCGCTTTCGAGACAAATGGATGCAGCACTTTGGCGTTGCATAGCAGTCAAACAAACGGTTAAGCACAACTGTTCAGTACATACATAAAAGAGGCTTTATTTTCAAAAGATTAATCTGAATAAAAATTGAAATTTCAGACATTTATCTTGGTATCTACTATTGAAATAAAATTAAGAAATCGTAAAAAATTATAAAATGAATTGAGAAGCTTTTATTAAAAGATTTATGTTATTTATATTTATTAGCATGTTATCTACTAAATGATGTATGTAGATTTTACACTTGATAATGAAGCATAATTAACTGTTACATTACATCAGTATTATATTTTTTCTATTTAAGTAATAATAACAGTATATCATGTAATTAATATTTTATTTGTGGAATAAAAAATTATGATAGGGAGTTTTGTTTATAATTTTTAATAATGCCCTCCTTTTTTTTTTTTTTTTTTTTTTTTTTTTTTTTTTTTTTTTTTTTGTAGAATTATGGTATTGGACAAAGGAAAAGTTGCAGAATTTGATTCTCCATCCGTTTTGCTGAAAAACAAAAAATCTATTTTTTATGGGATGGCCAAAGATGCTAGATTAGCGTAAATAAGAATCTTGCGTATAAATCAGTATTTCAATATGTTCAAAATAATTTATTTTGCAATTTCTTAGTATTAGAGATCAGCATTGGATGTATTTTAACATCCTAGTTTATATTGTTTTTTGCAAATCTATTGTGTGAGGGAAGAAAAAATCAGTATTTTATTTTAACCTGTACATAGTTTATTTTGAAATTATGTATATTTTCTGCTTCTGTTATTAAAGAAGTACTTAATTTTTTATATGATCTGCTTTTTTTAAAATTGATAAATTAAATATTTTTTATAAAACGTATTGATGTGTTTCAGATTATTCTGTTATTAAAAAGAATGCAAGGTAATAAAGATGCAAATTTGAGAAACCATAGATCTAATATTTAAGTTTGTCCCTTGTGAACTTTATTTAATGTATATAACTTTTGTTTTCTTAATCGAAATTACCATGTGCTTTATTGCATTTATTACAGATTATATTCAAACTCCTTACTATTGACATGTAGCATTAAGAAGATGAGAAACAGTCTGCAGTAATGTATTTTTTAAGAAATAAAAAAATAATTCTTAAATATTTACCAGATACACTTTAGCAAAAATAGAGCTTTACATTAAAAATGTACATTAGTTTGTTTAGTATTTTGAAAATTTTGAATTTGTTTGTTCAGCAAGAGTTGAATAAAGCTATAAAAATATAATAAGTTTATCATGAAAGGTACATTAGTTTGTTTAGTAATTTTCCTAATCTTTTTTAGCTAGAAAATATAATTTATCACGATTACTTAACACAGTAGCTCAATTTCCTTATCTTTTTCACTAAGTACTTTTTATGTAACATCTCAAAACTGTGAAAAAAAAGACATGCTCTTCCAAGATCGTAAAGTTATCTCAGTGTCACTGATTTCACTTTTTTTAATAATAATCAATCGATAAGTTGTGTTCATTTGCAAATTTTGATAGTTGGTCACAGTACATAAAACATAAAATGATTTTAAGTGTAAAATGTTTTTGCCAACAAATGGCTCTACCTTCTTGTTTGCTTTACTGCTGGTAGGGTATAAATCCAACCTTTGCCCCCACTGCTTTCCAATCTTATTGATTGATCTTTAATAATTAATAAGAATAAGAATTTATCTTTTTTTTTAAAAAAAAAAAAGACTACATACACTACTCCATAGGAAAGATGCAATGGTATAAATAGCCTCACACATTGAGTACAGAATGGAAAAAGAAAAGATTGAATTTTTTGCAATATCAGTTGCAGCAAGTTCTTGCTGATAGCCAAAGACAGATGCAAGTTTCTGATTAAGCCATCCATTACATATACTGCCACTAACATGAAACCATTATAGTGAATGTTTGATTATCTAGAGCAGATGTCGGCAACCTTTTTTGTCCATGGAACAAAATCAGTCAAAATGGGTGTATAAGAAGAGGTTTAAGATCAGTGGTATTTTCATTTGAATTTAAAATTTGCACATAAAAATTCAAATTATATGTAATTATTATAAAAACAAAGATAAATACATTAGCATTATTTTCTGCTTTAATATCAATGGCTTTCTTGGTTCTGAACTTGTGACATTAATTTAGACAACTCAGTCTTATGGTTTACTCAGTCTTAAGATGAGTACAAGCATAGGAATTTTGTATGGCTAAGCTTATCTTGTTCTTACTAAAAATAAATTTCATGTGTGAAAATATTTGCTTACATTTAAATTGAATGGAATGCGAATAAAATGGCAAAACCAATTTTTATTAGAGATGAAAACTTCATAGGAAGTTATGCCCAACATTTTGGTTCATGAAACGATCATAATTTCTGCTTTTTTTTCAAATCTTTTTGCAAATGCTTGAACCTTTAAAATTGATTATTTCTTAACTAAAATTGTCAAGTTTTAAGATGTGGAAAATGCTACAAATCTAAAACATGTTTTTTTATTTTATCAGGCCTTATTATAAAAGTAATCATTTCACCATGGTTTTTTAAAAATTTGAAATTCACATTCACACTTTTTAAAATTTTAAAATTTGAAATTTAAAAATTTATAATGCAAAAAATCTGTTTTTTGAATATAGATTGCTTTTTTTTTTTTAAATTTTCGTTTTCGTGTTGCCCTTTTAACAAGCAGAAGAAACAAAATTCTTCCTTTTTTTATGTTTAAGTAATATTAATTTAGAAGAAAAACTCTTCCAGTCCTTGTAGATTTTCCAAATTGTGGGTTTTTTTTTTTTTTTTTTTTTTTTTTTTTTTTGAGTCGTAGGTTGAAATCATTGTAATGGGTCATCATGTCTGTTAGAACAAAAATCTTAAAAAACATTCTTTATGATCCGAGATCTTGTTCACCAATTTCTTAAAAAAATATTCATATCTCATAAACACTCTATAAATCTATTAATAACTTTGCCTCAAGCATCATATTTGCTGAATGTTACAGGAAATCACTATATTTCAATTCAACTTCCATCAAAAAATCTTTGAAGTGTCTATGTACTAATGCTAGTCGTGTTCCTATCATGTTTTTTACAGTCTTAACAACCTTTTACACTGCATCTTTAATTTGTTGCCTATATGCCTTTGCAAATAAATTTTCTTTGTGTATAATACATGAAACTTTATAAGTGAGCAATGAAGTTCATTTTCCATTAATTTAACAAATCCAATCATTTTTCCTCTCATAGCTAGAGCTGTTATTGAATACAATTTACTTTTTAAATCCTACACTTGCCCATTTTTGGAATTAGTAAACTCTTGTACTTAATGAAAAATGTCAATATCTTTATTCATTTCATTCATAGATGCAAGACTGCAAAGTTATTCATTAACTTTTAACATTTTGATGATGTATATCTGATAACAATTGTGGCCCTACCGATGCTATTTACATCAGTACTTTCATTAAGTACAATGCTAATTACGTCACTAACTAGCAATTCATTATTGACCAGTTCATCAATATTTTAGGCCATATCTTCAATGTGACGTCAAACTGTTCTATCTGATTATGGCATTTCTTTCTCTCAATTTTGTTTTGTTTTTTAAGTTATTAAACATGTATTCAGAGCTACTTATGAATGCATTTTTCCCAAATTTGATTTCTGCAAACGATTTTTCATTCCCAGCTAAGAGCCTCAACAAAGCTAAGCAGATGTAGCTTTACTGTGGCTGGTAACAATTAGGTATTTATTTTGTTTTCGAAAATTTACTGTACGTTTAGCAAATGTATTTAGATTTTTCTTCATATGGCATTTCACGTACATTTTTATGTTTTGAAGAAAGATGTCGCTCAATGTTATAAGTTCTGGCAGAAATTACATGTCTGCATAAAGTACGTATGAGTTTGTCTTCATTTTCTATACATCCATACATTTTTTCCCACACATTTGAAATAATCTCTCTTTTGCTTTTTGTTTGTGTGTGGTAATAATTTGTTTAAATAATTATAATTATTTCACTATTTAACTATAATTGCTTCACTATTTTTGCGCTAAGTGCTACAACTGCGCTAAGTGCTACAACTGATGGAGTGCTGTCAGTTGTCTATCAAGGAATTATGGATTTCTTCTTGAAATTATGTTACAATTTTTTTATTTTTTAAATGTAATTTGATTTAATTTTTTTAAATGAAAATGCATATTTGTTACTGCGATGTTGCTATCAAACAAAAATGATAGTTATTTTTTCAGTTTATTTTTTTGTATGTATTCTTCAAGCATTTATGCCATATTTATGTTTTATAATTTATTTTTATACATTATACTTTATTTTTGAAACTCGAGTGAATCACTTCAAATTATGAAATGGGCCACTCTGTGAACCATGGGTCTTAAGTTGCCTAGGCCTGATCTAAAACTACACAGAATGACAATTGTTACAATGTGATGTGTTCATTTGCTTTGAAGGTGAACTCTGAATTTAGTCAAGAGACACTGTAGCAATTGTGCTGATCTTTTTGCTATTACTAATATCACCCAGTTAATCAATATGTAGTCATGGTGTAAATGTTATCAGTATCATCTGTAATGGATATGTTGACAACACACCAATATATTGATAGACTGCTGCAATCCATTTTCTATATATCTTACCTATTATATCTTTTAAGCATTTCTTGAGTATTTATCAGTAGATCAGCATATAGCCAGGCACAACATCAGCAGGCATTCTTTTTAAAGTACCTAGGACAGCACTTAGCAATCTAAGACTTGCGGGTCACTCAGTGACCCATTTCATAATTCCAAATGACCCATAAATGATGAAAATAAATTATAATATTTAAAAATAAATTATAAAACATAAATGTCAAATGAGCACTTGAAGAATACATAAAATAAAGAAAAACAATTTAAAAATTGTGACATAATTTGAAAGAAAAATCAATAATTTTAGCAACGCCGATTCATAATCCACAATTCCAAAAAATTGGCTTTGCCATTTTGTCCACATTCGGTTCAACTTATGAATACGAGCAAATATTTTTACACACGAAATTTATTTTAAATAAGAGCAGAAGCAGCTTAACTACTGAAAATTCAAATGCTTATATTCATCTTAAGATGACTAATTATAAGTCAGACTTGACTAAATTGATGTCTTATGTTTGGCATCACGAAAGCCATTGATCTGATATGAAGAGAAAAAAAAAATCATTCATGTTTGTTTTTATATATTCATGTTTGTGTTGATATTTGTTTTTATAGTAATTATAATTTTTATGTTTAAAGCGTATTGAAATTACTTTGTCAATAAAATTTATCATATTATTCATCAAGAAAGACTATTGTAAAATGGAAATACCACCAACCTGAAACATCTTAATCCACACATTTTGGGTGAATTTCACCCGCAGCCAAAAAAATTTGCCGCCGCCTGATCTGGGAGTTATATTGTTCAGCATGATCCTCTGATCTTTTATGAGTCGAAAATTTCCAAGATATGATTATTTATTGAGTGTAAATACTCTTCATCACTCTCCCATTGAGGATGAACTGTGAGTGGATTCTCATTGAATCAGTATCCTAAAAAGTTAATGGTTGTATCAACTAGGCTGATAATTAAGAAATGTTTAGTTTTCAGATGTTATATATAAGTGTTTGAAATTATTTCTCAGTCTATATATCAAATTGTCTCATTTGAGGCATTTTTTATTTCTTTTGGTGTATACTATCCATGGAACTGTGTGTTTTTAAATTAATTAAAAATCTCAATTGAAATTTTTTTTTTTTTTTTTTTGTGTGTGTGTGTGTGTGTGTGCGCGTGCGCGTGCGCGTGTGTGCGTGCGCGTGTGTGTGTGCGCGTGCGCGTGCGCGCGTGTTGAGAATTATATTTCATTTCAAATTGAATGAGAATGAAATAATTCGTTTATTCAGATTCTAGTAT